TCATTTCGTCTATAGCTATCGATTTAGACTCTAAAAAGCTGCTAAAATGGACAAAGAGCACCTCAAAAGTGTTATTTGTCTTTGCAATGAAGTCGAGCGGGTTTCAGTCGAAGTCACTCGGCGGATAAAAAATTCTCATTTAAGCTCTATGCCAGTGTACTCGATTCATCCACGCAACGTAAAATGTGGCGCAGCATGCTACAATTTGTTCTCTGCTTATTTAGATCTGTTTGGCGTTACAAAACCTATCAATAGTATATGAGTTCAATGTTTAGTGCGAGAACCGGAAAAGAATGCAATTAGTCATAAAATATTCACAGAAGTTTAAAAACTTGGAGAGTTAAATATCCTCAGTTAAATGTTGAGACAAAAGGGACTTCCACTACCATCCTCCAGCATAAATAAATCACGGTTTTTAAGAACCTCTAATTGATAATCTTCAAAAACACGGCGCTCTCTCTCACTTCCCAGGAGGGGAGTTTTTTAGACCCCTTTAAACGATAACAGGAAATTTGCCATCAAATATTCGTTACTTGAATGTGGAAAATGTGCCCTAATGATTTAGCAATAACTTCTGTATATTTATGAGCTTCTGCTTTCCAATCTCAATCTTTCGAGAGCTCAATGTAAATGAAATGCGTTGTTCATTGACCGTGTGTTTAATTTGCGTGGATTTTGGCTGGTGGATTAAATAGATTGAGTAGAATATTCTCGTGGATGAAAATATTTCTACGCATAGTCGTAGTGAAACCTTATCCATGACTTTTCGAAATAGCGTCGAGATAAAGAGGAGACTTCGCAAAGGATGCCTGTGAACTTGGTGCTAAAATACTTCTAAGGATATTTTGACATTTTGTTTTTGACTTCCACAAGATTGGCAATCTCATGGAATTTTTATGAAGCAATATATAGACATTTTAGCACCACCCCAAGGTCCAAGTTTGACTTGTATCCTACTCTTGCAATACAGGATAGTCAGAAACCAGTAATTCCGACGGTAGGCCATTTTCTCTGCGAATGCATAATCTTCAACTATGTTTTGACCAAGAAATTCTTTATAAGAACATCAAAAACTATGTTCATACCTGATAAAATACTAATGATTTGCATCTACTTACTAAGGTTTTACAAATAAACTCATGAAACTATAACACAGCATCCAATTTTGTTTCTTCCGACAGCGATCAACATAAATAAAGGAGGCAAGAAAACTTGGTACGGCTTATTGCGGTAGGGATCAAAGAAAACTATGAACAGAGCGTGGTTATTTTTACGTGCTGAAGCAGTGTTACTTTTGCGAATAAATAAGGCGTTTAAGGGAGTGAGAATAACATACGTAAGCGTCAACAGAGAAGCCAGACATACAGTTAGCTTTATTAGTAAGAAGCTGACTTACAGTTATTACTTAAGCACAAAATCCTGCACACAAACAAATGCAATAACTTCATTATATGTTACAAGCTATCATTCTAAGCATTGCATCATTTGAAAATAGGAAATTTCTACTACTTGTTGAACCCGACAAACATCTTTGATGTTGAAATGGTTCCATACCACCGTATCAAAGCGTACAAAGTCGTGTCATGAACAACCGACCATGAAATCGAAGTTTAAAAGGAAAACGCTACTAATGTTATGAATGTGTAGAGTGGAATAATTATCAAATCTTTCCAAAGTAAGAAACGGCAACGCTGACTGTCAGAGAGAAAACGGGTGCATGAGATCTCAGATAATTACTGCACCATCTTGTTCTGTACAACTTACAACAATAATGTATGGTATTTGGAATAATGACAAACACCTAAATGGTGGTTTTTTGGACTTTGGGATTACGCAACCACTTTCTATTCTAATTATTTAATTGCACCATTTTGTAGGATAATTCTTCCAAATGTGAATTGTCTTCATCTATTGGCTAATAGTAAAATCCATTGTTTGAAGCTGAGATAAGCATCCAATGTCTTCTTTAAGTGGTAAAAGCAGTGGTTTTCTGAAATATGGGTTGGCACGCAGTGCCAACATGTCAGGGATATCAAAAACTCGTTACGACTTGAGTGTGGCATTTGTGACAGGATTATTTGTTTAACTCTTCGTTTTATTTCCACGAGCACTTAAGACTCTGTCATTACACTCTTACTGAGCGGCATGGCCTTTGGGCAATGCCAGTTGTCCCCCAACCCATCTGTACATCGAGAATTCACTATCTCGCTTAGGATTGTAACTTCTTTCGTCTTTGAGGCAGTCTCGGGGAGCTATATCTTCGCCATTTGCGACAGGAAATCTGGCGTGTACTTGGACTAGGTGGCCGTGCATTCCAGAGGCGTGTAGAACATCGAATGTGGCGCTCTCAGCCTACCAGCAACATGGAGTGTAAAACGCTTCAAGTTTTTACAGCTCAGAATGGACACGATCTCCATTTGACCACACACTGCTCAGTCAATCAGTGCATCTTTTACTATAGGCTCATGTCTTCTTTTGCCTTCAGGAAAGTGTTCGGGTGCTACAACATCTCCAAGGCGACTGCATCTGTGAGCAATTATATCTGAATGTAAAATCCCACGATTAGGTGTGGTCATAGTTGGAAGAGGATGAAAAAGAAAGAATGACTTATAGGAATTGTCTTTGTCGATTGCAGCAAAAAAATGAATCGTGTTTACCTGGATTGTAGGCTGTTAGATTTGAAGTGTAAATTCAACTGCGCTAATCAGGAAATGGGAAAATAGGTACGATTCAAGTAAACTTAACTTCTGTGACTTGTGGTTATAAGTTAAATCTACTAAAAGCACTGTTAAACTAAAATTTTTTAAATTATGATTTCGTTTTGACTTAACTTTTTGTGTGGAGTCTAGGGAAAAATTTGCATTATTTTTACGGTTTTGAGGAAAATTGAAAAAGTTTGGTGTCTATTTGATACAAATTTTTGCATCGTAATCAGTCGTGTGTTCTATTTTATGCTCTGCTGTAAATGAGGAAAAGAATTCTCCTTTTTGTAGGCAATAAAGTTGACTAGTTCATCAGTGGTAAACTGCATTTGGTGAAGACTTTTCTCTGGGCTCTTCAATTCATAAATACGCCCGTTATATATGATGTTGGAGTCTGGATAGACTAAAGCACCTCTCCGTGTACTTTGCGATTTTTAAGTGCCCCAAGGTAAAGGCCATGTTCACTTAAAAGGTTTTTAGTTTTTATAAAAAATAAGCCTAATCTTATCACAAGAAGTCCTGTTGAAATGTATGATTGTAATAGGCTCAATATATCTCTCTTGCACCCCTCCCTTCACACCCTTGGAAGGAATAGACGAACTGGATGAGGACATGCTTCAGATATCTCGGTTAAGCATGTTTCGGGTAAGTATACTTCTCGGGGCCAATGGTGCCCATCCGATCCATCACGAGGTTCAGATTTACTGACTCCTCTTGCCACAAATGTACATCCTAACATGCACGTTTTACAGATCAAATCCTGCCAAGACGATTATTCAACAGCATAAACTATCAAGACAGTAGATTATACCCATCCTCATACTTTAATTCGTCTTGCTTGAAACTATATAACATGTGGATGTTGATAACATGTGAAATTCCAGCATGTAAGCATTGAGGATTGAACATTTTTTTGTTGTGATTTTGCCTAAAAACAACAATTTTTGATAATCTGTGAACTCGGAGAAGCATTACACAGAAGTCACCGCCTAGTTGAATGGACCTCTGATCACTTATGTCAAAATGTGAAGTTAATGATTAGGTATAATTGAAAGGAAGAATGGCTTTCATGAATCATGTTTGCAATCTGCAATAAGAGGACGATGCTTGTTTACTGGAAGTTTAAGCTATTAGGTCTAGAGTGTATACTTAACAGTATTTGCAAGAAAATGTGCAATCCTATGGATTCATACAAACTTGATTTCATTACTTTGTTGTTATAACTTCAGCATATTACGGAATTCTGTTGGATTTCAGATTTTTCTAAGCTCTCGACTTTACACATGATCCATCTTCATTTTGAGCATTTTATCGACTGACTTTTCTGCAAAGATCCTGCTGAAATCTTTTGCTTCATTGTTACTGTTTCCGGGAATGTTGAAGACTTTATCACATTCATTTGTTCTAAACCCTAGACTGTAAAGGTGCATCACAATTGATCGTATGACGTATTTCATGCCCCAATGTAACCGAAGTAAAAAATGCCTCTTTCTAGACATTAGTGTTGATTAGGCCATCAGTGGTAAGCTGTAGTTCATGGTGGCGACGTGGTCCTAGATCCTTTCATTTATAAATATCCCTGTTATGCTGCAATACTTTGATAATACATTTAACTCTTCGCTTTGGTTTCGCGAGCATTTAAGGCACTCTGACCTCTGGGTTATGCCGGTAGCCCTCTCTAGCCACTCTCTATTTTGGCTATGCATTTCTAGCCCTAGTACTGTGCCCTCTTTCGTCTTCAGGAAAGACTCAGGTGCTACACTGGTGGCAGTGGGAAGCAATTTCCATCCGAATAAACAAACTCCCGGAGGATGGGAAAAGCTGTGAGTGCCCCCTAGAAGAAGGGCTAAAAATTACGTCTGCCGTCGGTAACTTCCCTAGTCCCGTGTTTCTATGGGAACGATTTTAACAACTAAAGCGACGCTACCACTAAACTATTTAAAAGCTTGTTATAGAGATGTTTACAGCACTTATGTGAAATGTCAATTAAGTGAACACGCAATACCTCCTCCATCTCTCTACTAACTGGATCGAACCCATATGGATATATCTGGGCAGTAGTAAAGCCAAGACAAAATAGCAAGGTGAAATAAGCGTAAAACTGTATTTCCGAGAAGCTATTTTAAACACCGTCTTTTATTAAATGACCTTTTAGGCCAATGTTTTAAGGACTAACGATGTATGTAAGAGATGTCGTGCACATTCTCCCTTCCCCCAGTACAGTTCCCAAACAGGCAAAAAATCTAGATCCAGTGGATTTGTTAAGAGAAATAAGCGACGCTGCAGTCTGGTATCTTTTCAATTGCCCGCAAACTCGATAACTGATGCGCTTGTGATGGTCCACTCGGGAGGGTGACCGAGAGGAATACCAGGGGCGACACTAAAAAGGCTATGCAGTACTTTGACTGTTCGTTTATCTCTTCGCTTTGGGATCATGGACGCAGAAGGGTCCACCTTTGCGCTTCCGCTGGGGCATGGCCTTCGTGTCATGTCAGCAGTCCCCAGCATTTCTATACGTCAGCAATGTATAGTTTACGCTAGTATTATGACTTCTTTCCTCTTAAAAAGACTCGGGGCGCTAAATATCCTTTGATAAAGTTTGCACAAGCTAAAGCACTCCTCTGTGTGCTCTTACATGATTTGCAGAATGTGCTTTGTCAAAGTTGTATTTATTTGAACGTATTTAATACCCACAAAAATACGCCTAATCTTATAACTGGAAATTTTATCGGGAAGTGTGACATTCCGTTTGTTCCGAAGCTACCATTTACGAGTTTATTTATATAATATTCATGCTTTTATCAACGAATCAACATTCTCAGTTAAGCAAGTAAGCAATCATTCCACCATATTGGTCAAAGGAAAAGTACCACCGAGCCGCAATTAAATGTGTTCGGATATGTAATGAAACGGAAACGATGGGTGGTTTCCTTATTATATTTTAACCTCAAATGAAAACAAATAAGCGAAAGCATTAAGAGCGAATAAGCTATTACGAAACCCACAACCAGATCCACTTTTTACCCAGGCCGTAGAAATTCAACATCTATGCCCTGTTTGCCTTCAGTGGATGACTAGTAAACAATAAGGAAGAGGTTTCTGGGCCACTTAGCTGACTTGATTTTATTTCACCGCTTAAATCGTTGAAGCACCGTAACAAAAATTGGTTGAACTCTGTTTCGAAAAGCTTCCTAGTCAAAAGAAACTGCCATCACAAGTGCGAAAGTCTCTTGGGCAGGATTAGTCATAAGTGCTGCCAAAATACACTCTGGCTACTGATGAAATAAAACAAAGAAAATAAAACCGAACGCCAATCTTTCACATCAAGCGCACTTAATGAGTAAAATAACAGAAGCCAAACCAATTGTTACTAATCCAAAAAACCACTTTATAACTCCTTGAAGGATGTAAACGTAAATGTTACCTCAATGATTTCGCATACAACTTCTAACTGTGTTGGCTTTTTGGCAGTAGACTACGGATTAACACCGGCGAAAGCATCTACAGTTTCACGAATGAAATCTAGACTATCCTGTTCTACTCGGCTAATATCTTAACCTCTACGTTAACAGTAAGGTATAATGTAAGTTTGGGGTGTTTGATCCAATTAACCTCCTGTAAAAGCCTTCCGGTGAAAAATGGAGATAATTACTTGCGTAAGAGACTTTGGGCCTATTTAGACCAATTTTCAAGGTCTGAAACAGTTTTAACTTCCGACTACTTTCTGCATTTAGTGGTAGCTTTGTGCCATAATAAAAACAAAGATTACCTTACAGATTTGGTCGGGGCATTTACTTACTGCGTGCCATGCAGACTAAAGCCACTGGAGGGCGTGCATAATCCTGACCTATGTGAAGAGAACTGAGGTTTAATGTCTTGTAAATAAATTCAGGGGAAAGCACCATCTCCAACTCGAAACAGGATAATGCGAATACGCAAAATATACGTGGGAGTGGAAGCAATTGGTGCACAATTTCATTTTTGACGCTAATAATTAGGCACAGCTCCTGCTTTAAAAATCCTTCCAGCAATAGATACGCTTCATAAAACAAAAGGACCATAAGATTCAAAATGCCTTTAAAAAATCTTAACCTTAAGCCAATATTGAGGTCCAATTACCTGGTCAGACTAAGGTACTAAAATAGTAGAAAAGTGTTTTCAGAAATTTGGAGAAAAAAATTTTGTCTTTTGCAACTTTCATGGAACCCATTTGCTTTGAAAACAAGAACAACACTGGCTGCGAGCGGTCAGGGATTGAAAATGAGGGCTGATATGACTGGAATGATTAAACAGAGGCTACTTATTCAAATTTCTCGAATCTTTTTAGATAAAAACATCAAGATTAGATGTTATTAGTATTTTCGATTTGTAACAGAATGGAAATCCAACCCAATTCTTTCACTGTACTGCTTCCTGTTGCAAATTTCAAGGTTGCGGAGTTTGGAATTCACAAAAACTTTTAAGGACAGAAAAAATGGCTGTTCTTTCATTATTGCTTTAAAATAAACTGTTCTAAGTGAATTGACGAAGGACCCAGGCCCAAATCCAATATATCTAAATAACACACCATCCTACGAAACGAAACCAAAAGGAGAAAAATTCTATCTTCATACCAAAACTATCCAGCAGTGTCTTGAGGAAGGTGACTAAAGTGGTCGCGAGTCTAGAGAAAAAAACGCAAACCACTCTTGTACACCCGCTGCAAGAACTGGTGGACAAAAAGTTCAAAGGAGGGACAACAGTTGTCAGCTGGAGCTTTTGGCAAAAATCTTGGCACTGTCTTCCAACATTTCTTTCCTGCTTATTGCAGAGGTGATATGACTGGTGACTTGATCACTTCCATACCACATTAACACAGCAAATAATGTTAAGAGAGAAAGCATTGCCTATTTAAAACTTTTACTCTTTATGGACTAGCCTACACAGAAATAATCCTCAAATTTAAATAATATTTTAACAATTAATAGCTATATCTTCCAAATCATGTTGCATTGATGTGTTGGGTCTGCGTTTGACCACAAATAAGGTCATAATGAGGTCGAAAACGCTGCTAACGACTGTCCTGTCTCCTAAACTGACCTACCTTCATTAAACTTTTTAAAAGGGAGACGGAAATTTCACTAAGTCACCAGTGCCGTGTCTTCGTGTGCGGTGGATCCTAGAGAAGGGCAAGAGTTTTAGCCTACAGTACATTAATGAGTAAAAATGAATAGTGCTTATGCCAAGATCAGATCTTTTCATAACGTCTTAAATAACTTATTTACACAAACTGCCAAATCTGTGGATTAGAAGCTTCTGTAGTAATCCCAGAAATTCTTATTGTGTTTCTTCCTTGACTCTAAATTGAAGGACCACCGTTTTTCCTGTTGTAAAACATCAAATTGACGCCCAAGTAACGCTGGAAGGTTAAAGGACAATATAGTACATTTTGCATGGGTGCCTTGATCCTTTAAAATTACTTAAATAGAGTCTGTGTGAGTAAATTTGACAACCTCGTGATAATAGGCATTACAAAAGTTGGGAGATCAAAGGAGTCATGACTAAATTCAGCTATTTTAAGTTGGATTTGTAACCTAAACAGCCAACTTACCTTTCCATTTCGGGTTCCACAATGGTAGCCACGTTAACAATCTGAAGTCCACTGATTTGGAAAAACAGTCTAACAGAGGCGGTGGCACGTGTGTTTCGTGGGTTGCAGCAAAAGTCAGTTGTTGGTATTCAGGAAGGGGAGTTACATACTCCTTAGACATCTGGAAATGAAGATTAATGGATCAGAGTCTCATCAGTACTCATAAAAACAAATGAGAATAACTAACTTGGCGAGGTTAATTGGGACAAGTGGCACGATAGCATCAACAGTGGAAATTGTCTGCAAAGAAACACAATGAAGACGCATTTTTTCGAATAAAAAGTTGTCACTAACATTGTTCCATACTTTTGGGACATTAACGTTTAAACTCTCCTCTTTTTTCGTCATAATGGTAACAAATGATTAGTTGAGTTGATAATATAAAACGGTAGAGTAAAATCTCTTGATGCCTGTAAGAAGCTAGCATAATAGGTTCGCAAAGAGACTGTAAGAAACAAGGCAATAAAAACAAAAGATAAATTTTGACTATTTAACACAGGATTGACTAGTCACCGTTAAATTCCAGCCCATTAATTTTGGAATCAATCTGAAGAATGCAAAGTCCCTCGTTGCACCTCGTTGCAGGTGATCGTCAAAGTCAAAGGCATCGCTGCGCATGTTGTCAGCACGGTTGAGTAGCATTCCAGAACACAAATATACTTCTACTTTCGCAATTTTTGTTTAAGTTACATATTCTCGATTTGAGTTAAAAAAGTTGGAGTGCTACCATCAGCGAGTAATTAGGTTTGGATGTGGCTTTTTAGCTGTGGAGTTAACTGAACGCACAACTTCCCTTCACAAAAGCCAGAAAGCTTTATTTTCACTCTGTGATTTTATCAGTATGACAAAACGACAAAATCACTTGGCCTATTGCACGCAAATAGCCGAGCTAAACACATAAAATTACCAGAGAACCAGGAGATTAAAAATAACCACTTTTACCTGCTGTTCGAGGAGTTTGAATAGGTAGGTGGGACTCAGGAGGAGAGGAAGCAAAATGCTCTCTAACTGAAAGTTAAAATTGCTATAAAATCAACTGTTTTTAGTACTTTTGTCAAATTTAAATGGAAGAATTGCACTTATTTCTACTTATGCTTCAAAATTCTATAATGTAACCATCAGTGGTAACTATCAGATTATATTTTCCATCCCTTTTGAGATAGACTTTATAGTTCACCAGAAGAGTAAGACTTTGCACTGCTTAAAATTGTTCATTTTTAAGATTTTGTCATTAAAACAATTGCAAAGCTCGAGTAACCCTGCTATCTTACCTTTATTAAATTATTTTACCCGGATAATGATTCATGTCTTCTTGTGAACCCAACACAAATTCTCCGACCGTGATAAATGGCGGTCTTGGAGAACACAATCTTTAAACTGCAATGAAATGTAGTCCGACCGATTTATGATGTATGATTGTGGCGAAAAAATTAATTGGCTTTTTGTCTTCCTAGCCCCTGTGACGGGCTGCACTTTTTCGAGGCAAGCCATTTTGGTAACCTCGGGGCGGCAGATGAATCAAATTTGTCAATTTGGAGGAAAAACGGAGTCACTAAATTTTGCCTTGTGCGGTTAATCCAGTGTAAAGTTAAAAAAGTAAAATTAATTGACTCCTTCCGCCCCCATCATATTTTCACCCCTAAATTGTACCTTCAAAGAGGCACATGGCGTTGATGATCAGCAACAAATTGCATTCCCTGAAACATGTAGCTCCGGTTTATGAGTGTTAATGCAGATCCATACGAACAGAATTTTGAAAATCAAACGCGCTAAAAGTAGGTGGTTGATGAAAGGGTTTTGGATAAAGGCTAAATATAGTGATTGAGGTAATCGTTTTTTTCATAACTTAACCATTATTCGCTTTATTTTTATAGACTCCACAAGTAGTTTGCTTTCGCCTTTGATTGACTTGGGGATGAGCGCTGACCAGCCAATCAAGTCGGTGAGGGGCAAAATAGCAATAATAAAGCCGACCAAACCCATTCCGTGACGGACCGGGATGGTAATCAGAGCACAACACCACTCAGACACAGAAACTTAGTGGCAGAGACTGGAAGGCGGATAACGGGAATAATGTTTAAACATTAGAATTATGCATCTGGAACTGCCGCTGGAGTCGGGGAACACTGCGGCTTGATGACTGGTGCCGACTCACTCGCTTTAATAAGAAGGAGTTTAATAAGAAGGTCGGTAATACCTCACTGCGCACGAAATCAACCCAAGTTTAAACACTATCGCACCACGTGTCTGGATTACCTCATTAAACTGAAGCACAACGTATAATTATATTTTTCTCTTCTGTTCCTTTCCCATTTGCCCTTTTTATCAAGGCTCATTTGGTCACAGATCTTTTGTCCAAAGGAGCCTTTACAATTATGCATATTTGCATTCGAAAACAAATTAATGAGTACATTTGAGAATACCTGATATTAAAGCAAACATTGCTTATGGAGAACAAAGTGCTTTTCTTTCCTTCGCTTCCAAGCAGGATAGAATTCTACTAGGGTAGTAAAATGATTACTTGTGCTGGACTGATAACATGAAAATACTCCCTTCAAAAAGCACGACTCCCTATTAAGTAACTTCAATGTTTCAGCACATAAACAGGGTTTTTCAGTTGCATATTTAAAGTGAAAATGGGTAAAGCAAATAATAACTAAATTACGCTGTCAAAATCTGCTTGAGCTATAATACCTCTTTTTACTTTTGGTAAATGGAATGTTGAGTTGTTGAAAGTCGACCTTGATCATAGTCACATACCTCCTATTTTCGTTTGCTTTGCCGAATGGAAAAGTTAGAATATTCTATGTGGGTTTGAAGCATGCTCAAAAGGCACAAAAAGTAAAATTTATCTGTCCACTATTGAAAATGACCAATGTTACAATTTCTGGCAAAGTTGAATGGGGAAAAAGGTAGAAAATATTGCTACACACTCATCGGCTTTGGTTTTACCATAAACTGGCATTGCCAGTTATCTACCATTGCCGACGGTTAAAATATTTCAGAGGGTAATGCGATCATGCGTAGTTTGGTGTTTGAGGCTAGAAGGAGTCAAATGCCTTGCTCTCAAAACTCGTCCTCACATGGCAAAGTGGAACCCCTTGTGAACAACTGAATGATTCTCCATCTTTGAAACTACAATTTATGGAGAAAGTTTCTCAGTGAGTATTCTTGTTATGCCCCACTGCCTCTCAAATGGACACCCTGCCTTGGAGATAAACCAGTTTGATGCAGGATTATAAAAGCAGAGTGTTTTGAACCCGAACGAAATTATTTCGATAATTTTAGCGAATGTCAGATATAGCTAAGTTTGGTTCTATTTAGGATGCTGTTAGGAAGAGGTTGATTGTTATTAACGTTGACCATAAATACCGCTCGAATTCTGTGGCAGAAGTTATTTCCTTCGAAGTTAATCTACGCTCTTAAGTGTCGAATGATAGCTAGTAACTTTGGTCAGGTCTGAACACCTTTCCAGAAAGACCTCCAGCTGAATTGCGAACTCGCCATCTTACCTGTATCCGAATTGAAGTAAAATTGCTAACTTGATTGCATAAATAAACTGAAACCTTGTAAAAGTAAAGGAATGTTCACCTTTTAATAGAAAATCTTACTCTCAGCTATCCAATTTGCACAAGTTAAATATGCGGGATGTGGACTGCTGTTTTTTGCATAGTGAGGTTAAGTCGCGTCCAAAAAGGTTTCATTTGTTGCCTTAAAACTCTCCTGGCTACTTTTTAATACAGTATTTATTTCTGTGTGTCAAGAGGCTGCATCTATTTACCTCTTCAGAGCCCTCTGTGATGTTAAATGTCCTGCAGGACACCAAAGTCGAGACCAAAAGGGCAAGGCTTCAGTGATTGAGGTTACGATGAAATTTCGGCCCTCGCACCGATATGAAGAAATTGCGGTCACCTTTAGACTCAGAGTATTCACTTTTCTCTTTCGATCTAATTCATTTAAAACGACTGTAATGAAACTCTAATCTGTGTATGATCTACCAGAGATCCTACAAATTAATGTCAACTGCCGATAACACTTCCCCACTCTCCGCCTTTAATGTACCAAGCTCAAACTTCAAGGTTTATCTTTTATTATTTTTCCAGTGAGCCCCCTTAAATTGTTCCATTGTATTCATTTGAAAAATTATTTTAATCATAGCCCCACGATTTTTCATAGCGTATCACCGCTTAGTTATGTTGGTCTGATCTAACCCTGTAAATACTCCCTTTTGCAACAATTTCCTTAAATCTGCCGCACTTTCACCAACCATGGAACTAATTTACACAATTTTATTTTGTGGTTAATTTTTTTGTAGTGGAATTTATGGTAGAGACAAATAGAATACCCGGTTACGGTAAAAAACTTGAAACGAAATCGGGGTGATCATGACAAGCTACAACGCTCTTCACAATCTATGGACTGATTTGTGCATTAAATTCAGTAACACTAAGCCCGCATTTTACAAAGGGAATATGGTTTGGTAATCTGATCGAAAATGCATTGGATACTTGCTGATATGATCTTTTTTCATAAGTACGAGCATATCGTTAATCAGCAGCATCTTACCCTAATGGGGATCGACTGCTGAGTCGACTCGTCAAATTGACTGATGATCAAATCTATCCACCTGCATTCGTTACGAGTGCCTAAATCTGATGCAATTCTTGAGTGCTAGGTATTTTCAAAATCGCCATGGCTATGACTCCCAATGCACCATGAGTGAATGAGTGTGACAGCCCTCCTAGCGGCATATCGGTAATTGTCCTTTGCACAAGCATTTAAGGCTAATTACTCCTCAACCTCCTGTCACCTTTTCTTGTATTCCACAACGCCTTGACCAATCAGATTGTGCTGACCTTGGAACCACTCAAAGTTGGATATTGTGGTCAGCCAATGAAAATGTAGTTTCACACGTGTGTAGACGTAAGCTAATAGGCGGTGAAACATTGTCTCCGCATCTCACACCCAAGCTTTCCTCTCCTTTTCAATACAACTTCTGGGAAGTATTTAGGATTATAGCCAGTAAGTGCAACAAAGACGCTTTAAAATTTGATCTTTGTGGCAGGTTCAGAGATCTGTAGCTGAGTTTCGGTTTAAGACATTATTTTTTGTTGATGCGCC